TGGTAGAGACAGAAAACCAAACTGGTAGTTGACCTCGCAGCACTAGCAAAGGATGCACTGGAGGAGGAGGTGGCGTAGGACAGAGGGCGGGGTGGCCTGGAACAGGTCTTGTGGGATTGGCATCTGGGAAGATGGCCAGTAGACAGGAGCTATCGTGGAGGGGCCCTATGGACCAGGCCAAGGAGTTTGGACTTTATCCTCAAGCAGAAAGGTTTTATTTAGGTAGAGGAGTGACATGATTTTTATTATTTTTATCTTTATTGCTTTTGTTTAAAGTTATAAAAGTTGAATAGTGTTTTTTTTTAATTTAAAGTAACAATGCTGAGATATTTGGCCCTTTTAGAAAAATCAATTTGGCAGCGGTGTAGGAATGGGATAAAGTACTGCGTTAGAGAGGAATTGGGGAGGTTATTAGGGACCAGGCCAACTGCAGGGAGAGCAGAGACGGGTGGAGTGTCAGGCCTGGAAGATGATAGGTATGTGGGGGGAGTTAGGGGAGATAAGGCTGAACACACAAGAGCCCGGCTTTAGGAAGCCTCTACTGCGCAGGCGTCGACGCGCCCACACCATTTGAGAAACCAGAGTACTTGAAATTTATTCCATTTATTTATTCGTTTGTTTGTTTGTAGACAGGGACTCACTATGTAGCTCTGGTTGTCCTAGAACTTGCTACGTAAACCAGGCTGATCTCAAACTCAGAGAGATCTGCCTGCTTTTGCCTCCCAAGTGCTGGGATAAAGGAGAATTTAGTTTTGAAATTTTACATTTAGTGTGTGTGTGTGTGTGTGTGTGTGTGTGTGTGTGTGACAGAGAGAGAGAGAGAGAGAGAGAGAGAGAGAGAGAGAGAGAGAGAGAGAGAGAGAGAGAGACGGAGAGGGAGAGGGAGAGGGAGAGGTGTGGAGGTCAGAGGACCATTTTCAGGAATCAGTTCTGTTCTGTCCTACCACGTGGGTTCTGGGGTTTGAACTCAGGTCGTCAGGCTTGGGGGAAAGCACCTTCACCAGGTGACACGCAGACTGTGGGCACACCAGGTGACACGCGGACTGTGGACACACCAGGTGACAGACTGTGGGCACACCAGGTGACACACGGACTGTGGACACACCAGGTGACACACGGACTGTGGACACACCAGGTGACACACTGTGGACACACCAGATCACACACGGACTGTGGACACACCAGGTGACACACAGACTGTGGGCACACCAGGTGACACACGGACTGTGGGCACACCAAGTGACACACACACTGTGGGCAGACCAGGTGACACACGGACTGTGGACACACCAGGTCACACACACACTGTGGACACACCAGGTGACACGCGGACTGTGGGCACACCAGGTCACACACAGACTGGGCACACACCAGGTGACACACACTGTGGACACACCAGGTCACACATGGACTGTGGACACACCAGGTGACACACAGACAGTGAACACACCAGGTGACACACGGACTGTGGACACACCAGGTGACACACACACTGTGGGCACACCAGGTGACACATGGACTGTGGGCACACCAGGTGACACGCGGACTGTGGGCACACCAGGTCACACACACACTGTGGACACACCAGGTCACACACAGACTGGGCACACCAGGTGACTTTTAATTCCAGTCCGTTCCCCCCGGCCCTCTTAATGGCTTCTAGCTATTTCCTCTTGGGATCCGGCCAGCATAAGCTCAGGAAATGCTAAGTTTTACTTCTGGAATCAGTAAAGCACATTAGCAAAGGAAATCCACAAATAAAAAACAATCACGTTATGAATTTCAAAGCCAAGGGGAAGGATCACAAACGGACTGTGAGCTGCTGGGACAGAAGTCACTCATTCACTCTGTGGGATGCTAGAGACTGGCCCTGGAATCCCCGAGATTTGGCCCGTTTTGTTCCTGTTTACTTCCAGAACCTCTTTCTGGCACAACCCTCAGCTCTTGCTCTGGCCTCTTCTGACAAGGGAGATGCTTGGCCAGGATGCAGACTCGGCACTTTCAGAGGGTGAATGTATCGGAAAGCCTTTGTTAACCAATGCGCTTTGCAGGTAACAGTTGCTCTTTATTCATTGTTCCTCGGGCTCTTGACTGCTGCCTTGCTACACTGCGCTGCAGAATATTCAAGTACAGATTTACGTATGTTTTTCTTCCTTCCTTCCTTTAAAAAAAATCCTTATGCTTTGTGTATGGGGGTGAGCACACATGCACATGGATGCCAGGACAGCCAAGCAGCATCCTCAGGAACACCATCTCCTTCCCTCGAGACAGGGTCTCTCCTTAGCCTTCACCAATTAGGCTAGAACTGGCTAGGCATCGAGCCCAGGGATCCTCCTGTCTCTGCCTTCCAGGCACTGGGGATTCCAAGGGAAAATGTTGTGGTCTGGGGCTCAAACTCTGGTCCTGTTTGTGAGGCAAGCACTTTACCAAACTACCTTCCACTCAACAGTAGACTGCATGCTTTCCCACACTCCTCACAGCAATATCCTGTGTAAGTGATTTTGTTCAAAAGCACCTCTGGGCAGATGGAGCTCAGCTGCTAGAGTGCTAACCCAGCATCTATCTATCAGGGTCTGGGTTCAGTCGACAGTGCTCCACAAACCAGGAATGGCAAATGCCTATAATCCCAGTAAGGATTGGAGAAAGGAGGTTCTGAAGTTCCAAGGTTACTCTCAACCACACAGTGAGGTTGAGGTCACCAGCCTGTGTTACATGAGATCTTCTCACAATTACAAAAAAAAAAAGTGTGGGCGTAGTCTGTAGGATACCTGTGAAGAAGATATTTTTGTTTGTCCGTAGGGACTGGGCCGTCGCCGCCTACAGCATGGAACTCTATCACTGACGGAGCTGTTCTCAGCCCTCCCCGATTCTGTGTTTATTTCTGACGCTGACCTCAGGACAGCAATGTCCACACCAGCTCCTGTGAGGGGATGAGTGTGGGCCTCTGGCTTCCTGAGTTAATCATCCACCTGGGCTGGCTGCTCAGAAGGGAACCAGAGGAATGCAGACTCTTAAGACATCTGCCTGCAGGAAGGAGGCCTTGGGGTCAGCCTAAGAGGCTGATAATGCACTCTACTCCACAGCTTCCATCCAGTCCCAGCCATGTCCTGTCCTGAGTTACAGATCATGTTCACTTCCACTTTTCCCAGACTGCGATTCTTGGAGTAGGAAAATGATAACCTGACTGGCCGGGATATGGACTTCAAGTCCAGCCTGTTTAAACAAACAAACGAACACCCCTCAACTCCTGTGAGTCAAGATATACTTGCCAAGTTAGGGCCCTGGTTCCAATCCCAAACACCATAGAAACAACCCAAAAAAGCCTGTATCAAAACAAAAACTGCAGCCGGGCGGTGGTGGCACACACCTTTAATTCCCAGCATTGGGAAGCAGAGGCAGGTGGATCTCTTGAGAGTTGAGGACATCCTGGTCTACAGAGTGAGTTCCAGGACAGCCAGGACTACACAGAAAGACCCTGTCTCGAAGCCAGGCAGTGGTGGCGCACGCCTTTAATCCCAGCACTCGGGAGACAGAGCCAGGTGGATCTTTGTGAGTTCGAGGCCAGCCTGGTCTATAGAGCGAGATCCAGGAAAGGCACAAAGCTGCAGAGAAACCCTGTCTCGAAAAACCAAAATCAACCAACCAACCAAACTAAAAACTACGGTTGGGCCGTGGTGGCTCACACCTATAATCTGAGTTCGAGGCCAGCCTGGTCTACAGAGCCAGGTGAGTTCCAGGACAGCCAGGGTTAGAGAGGAAACTCTGTTTATAAAAACTAAGTTTTTGAGGTAGGGTTTCATGTAGCCTAGGCTGACCTCAGCTTTCCCCCTGCTCCCCAATACATAATTTTTCTGTGTAGCCTTGGCTGTCCTGGAACTTGCTCTGCAGGGGCTGGCCTTGAACTCAGAGATCTGCCTGCCAAGTGCTGTGATTAAAACCAATGCCTGGCTGACCTCCAGCTTTGTAGTATTTCATTTTTAATTATGTATAAGTACAAGTGCCCTCAGGGGCCAAAAGAGGGTGTGGGATCCCCTGGACCTGGAGTTGTGAGCTACCTGACGTGGGTACTGAGAAGCAAACCTGAAATCTCAAAGGCCAGGAGTGCTTTTTAGCCCTGAACTATCTCTTTAGCTTCCCTGGCCTCAAACTCTTTATTCTCCTTCTCCTACCTCTAACACACCCAACTCTGGCTTCATTTGCCCAGAGACAACTGTTTTCTCGTTGCAAATGCATTAGGATTTTTCTTCTTTTTAATCCCCTCTTGAAAGCCAGGGCCATGACAGTTTTTCTTTTAAGGATAGGATTGGGGCTCAGTGGTAGAACATACAAAAACCAGCTAACCTCCATACTCTATACTCACACATGTTATTGTTTGCACCTTTGAGTTTACGTCACCATAGCCCAGAGTACAGAGTAAATGGAGACTAAATCTAAAAGCCTAGAGCAAAGCCTGTAATCGCAAAGGCAGGTATCTCTTGTGAGTTTAAGGCCAGCCTGCTCTGTATAGGAGAGTTCCAGGACAGCCAGGGCCACAGAGACTCTGTGTCAAAAAGTAATGTCCTTAAACTTCACGCCCACCCCCCAATCCCTCTGGCCCAGACAGAACTGGCCTCGGGCCAGGCCAGCTTGGGCTGTCTTTCCCATCAAGTGCTCAAACACTCGGTTACCCAAGTCTATCATTAACTTCTTTCTTCATGTCTTCCAGGCACTGTGCCTAACTTGATTTGTTATTGTCAACTACATGCTAGGGAAGGCGAAACTCAAGACACTCAGGTTTTCAGATACACATGCAACCAGTACCTAGCCTGCCACTCTGAAATTCAACACAAGATGTATATACCTCTCGTGCCAGCACTTGGGAGGCAGAGGAAGGCAGATCTGAGTTCCAGGCCAGTCTTGTCTACATAGTGAGACTCGGATGGTCTTCCCCAGGAAGAGCACAATAACTGGTTATTCAGTACCAGATGGTCACCCCTAAAACATACACACAAGTAACATGACAAGGGCTGAGCAGTTTGTATTTTGTATTTAGGTGCGCATTGCACACACACACACAGAACAATTATAAAGAGGCTGTGAATGTGAGTGACAAGGAAGGATGTACATGGAGGGGTTAGAGGAGGAAAGGGGAGAAATTATTTAATTATAAACTAAAAAACCCATAATTTTGTGCAAAGTATTCATTTCAGCTGGTGAAGATATTCTCAATTTCCAACAGACTTGGTCTGAATGTGATCCTGAGCAATGTGGTTTACAGTATAATAATTTGAAAATTGTCCAGCCTATCAGTTTCTTAAACAATTTTCCCACTCTACTGTACGTGACGGTTCATGTCTGTACTCACATCTCTTATTGAGCAGCTAATATAACTATGTGAACTGAAATAAAACGTCAAATGAAATCAGTATCAAAAGGAGTAATGGACAAGGATCAGAGAGCCCACTGCCTCCAGGACTCATTCACAGCACAGCTGATAAACTAATAAATGCACTGGGAGTGAGAAAGGGACAGAGAAGGGCTGTCTGTGCTAAGTGCCACCCAGCCTTTACACACAGCCTTTACTAACATCGATCTTATGTTAGAACCCAGTGACAGAAAGAACAACTGAGCAGTTAGCAAAAAAAGTTTAGTTAGTTTCAAGTTCCAGTTTTATGGCAGCTTTGGCTTCTGACTATAAACTCAGAACCCCTCCTTCTGAAGAGTGACAGTGAACATGCATCATGAAACGTGGGTTTTAACCCTCAGCACAGGCGGCAAACCTGCCCGGCAAATGCAGCTTCCGAATCTGAGATGGGAATCCTTTACATGTGGCTTCGAATTCTGCCATCAACAGCCTAAACTCTGCAGGTTTCCTCTCTAAAATCCGGCCACCACGCTATTGCAAGGCCGTTTTCCACTGCGTCCTAAGGCTAACTGCATCAGGTGAGAGCAATTCAAGACGCGGGTTGTTTTCAATCCATTCCTGCTTGTGTCAAATGAAGGCGAAAACATACGGTAAACCATGTGCACGAGTCTCAAGGCATATAAACCAGATGGCCCAGTATTAGTAAAGGTCAAAATGAAAATAAAAATGAAGACACAATACGTCTCTCAAATAAACATGTGAAGGCCTGTTTTCTAAAAATAAAATACATGTTTTATTTGGAAAAAGTCAGCTTCTTCTTACACAGGTTTCAAATCTATATTTTCACCCTGTCAATTACCATGGTATTTTAAATGCATTGAGTACAATTCAGTGTCATATATCTTTTTGGCCTCTATTTAGAAGACATTGGGTTAAAAAAAATACTACAATTCCAATCTGGTCCATCCTTCCTCCTGTCCTTACACTGAACCCATTTTCTCCATTTCAGGTAAGTGAAAAGGGTCACAAAAGCTAAGGTTTGTGGAGCCAAGACTGTCCAATAATTCTAAGCATGATAGAAGTTTCTCTTTAAGCCTTGGTGCATGTGGCAGGGAGGTGGGTACTTACTGAAACCAAGTGAACTCAGCAAACTCCCTCCCTATTTTATCTTTTATTGGCTTCCCTGGGGCCAAACTCTGACCCTCTTGGTTTTGCAAATACTGAAAAACAATGTAAAAAACAAAAATAGCACACACATTCAGTCCTGTACTGAGTCTCTCACATACAGCTCTAAACTAGAATATAAATGGAACTATCAAAAATCAAAGAGAAAAGGTCTTGGGGGTTAAGGAGGATTCCGGGGTGCTGGTGGGATGTGGCTCAGAGGTACAGCATGTGCTTAGCATGCTTGTGGCCCTGGGTTCAATCCTCAGAACCACCAAGCCCCCCCAAACCCACACAACTCAAAGATTACAAGAGTTTCATACCATAACTAGGGTCTTGGAAAACCCAAGCTGAATTCAGCTGATGCCTGAAATACTTGTCTATATTAAATCAGACTGTATTGAATAATGTTTTGTAGATTTTAATACTAACATTTTTGCAGTAGATTTCAAAAATGGCAATGACTTCTAACCACTCAATGTCTCTGAACTGGAGCAAAGGTAGCAATCTAGTGATAACATTCTAGCTCTAGGCTTGCAGGAAGCATCTGAGAGGAGGCACCCAGCAGGTGACAGACAGACTGTGGCTACAACAGCCAAGATGTTTCCAGAATTTCATGCTTTAAATTTCTTAAATATATACCTAGCAGGCACCTACACCAGGCAACTATGATGCTAGAAAAATACTTTCATCAGTATTTTATAAATCTCCAACTTTTAACTAATATTTCTATCCATAAATGTTCCGGTAACAATTTCCGACAAAGCATTACAAACAACAACAAAACCAGATTAAGGTTAGAGTTACCTCAAGCAAGTTAGTTGTTATTCTTCCTTTTAAAATAGATGAATTCAGCAGAATGGTTTTAAAAGTTAAGGCTCTCTAAAGAGTTCTAAAACTAAAACTTAAGGCACATATTATAATCTTCATGAGACTGTTAAAAGCTAAGATTAAAACAAAACAAAACAAAATCCCTAGTTCTTTCCCATATCCTTTGCCAACCACTCCCTCCCTAAAGCATAGTAAATTTTGAATTCCGGCATTGGTAAGGAGTGAACAAAAAAACAAAAACAAAAACAAAAAAATCCACCAATGAACACCTGGTAGGTTTCCACACAAATGTCCACTGTCTGCATTGAGCACCACTGGAAGACGAGAGGCCAGCAGAATGGTTTCGGATGTCGTCTCGGGTCACACACTGCTCTGCTCCTGCTCCGTTCAGACGGGACTCTCCTCCTCTGCGGGGTCTCCGGCGCTGTTCTGCTGCGGGGACTGTGCTGCTTTGGTTACTTCCTTGGGCTTCTCGCCGCCATCTGTGCTGGCCTCCTCCTCCTTAGCTTCCCTTTTCTGCTTCTCCTCGGCTTTCTGTTCTTTGGCCAAAAGTCGGTAATTGATGCCCATGCCAATGAAGAGATAGATGCCCGCGATGATGAGGATCACGCCACAGGCCCAGTACGTATACTTGTAGTCTCCATACATGTCATTGAGGCGGCCTAAGGATGCAGAAGACAAGGCTCATGAGGAAAAGCAAACAAGGAAACCTCTCCCCAAAGTGTAAACATCCTCTCAGAAAGATGCCAAACCAACCTTCAAAGAACCCATAAGTGACACACTAGCACAAAAATGAATTGCTAAATTTTCTATTTATAGTGCCGATTTTGACTGGCCGTGTATTTTCTATTTTCAAATTGCAAACAATTGACTCTTGGCAAATCTGAATGAGAAGATGGGAGTATAATTTGTTCTCTTAATACACAACGAAACTAATTCAAAGGAAGTTTGAAAGTGTCCAAGGCCACACAGAGCTACTCCAGTCACCAAGGCCAAAGCTCTTTATCAGCACTTCCGGAGAACACTTGCTCTGTAGCCAACAGCACCCTCTTAGCACCAAACCCCCAACATATCTTCCAGCAGTTACAGAAATTCAAGCACATTGATGTTAAGTAACTTCTTCAAGGTCACGAGGCTAGTAAGGGAACACAAAGAGTCTGAGTTGGGGCCTGCACCACCACCTCTGTGCTACAGGAAGACTCTCTACTGTTTTGACACCAAGTCAATTTGGAAAATGGCATCACATCCTCTCCCATTTTGGGAGAGGGTGATGTCTGATGGTAATGAAACCTATCATTGGCCAATGAGAATGGAACTCCATAGGGCTAACTATTACACAAACTGGTAAGTGTGCTACAGGGAGGTTCTGGACCAGATCACGGGTGGGAGACTAGTGAGTGGGTGAGGAATGCTGCTTCTTCTGAAGCATCACCCAGACCTGTCAAGGAAAAGAGGGTGGAGAAGATCCAGGCAGAGCAGCCAGTGCAAAGGCACAGGGGTGTGAGCAGGAAAGCAGGGCTGGGTCCTAGAGCAGAGCAAGAGGCCAAGGGTAGGAAACAAGGTTGGAGAGACAGGTAGGGCTAAGCTCTGCAGCTTTGGAAGTCAAGTAGGGAATGGGATACTGAAGCAAGTTGAGGGAGTTCGAAGGGTGGTCGTCATGGTAGAGAAAGGGGGCAGATTAGAAAGAAAGAGTGGGAGGATGCCGGGTGGTGGCGCACACCTTTAATCCCAGCACTTGGGAGGCAGAGGCAGGTGATCTCTGGGTTCGAGGCCAGCCTGGTCTACAGAGATTCAGATTCAGGACATCACCAAAACCACACAGAGAAACCCTGTCTCGAAAAAACAAAAACAACCCCCCCCCCCAAAAAAAAGAAAACAAAGAGAGGGAGATGAAAACTGACATGATTCAGCAACTCAAGGGAAGGAGCTAGAAAGGAAGCCAGCTATAAGTTTGGTGGCAGCTGCCTATAATCCCAGCACTTGAGGGGAGAACACGGGTGGGTCAGGAGGTCCGGGCAATCTTTGTCTACAAAGCAAGTTAAAATCAACTGGGTTGAGTAAGATCCTATCTCCAAAATAAATAAATCACCATGAACACCCAAAAGGAGTCGGAACATTTGTGGAGACAGTTATTTGCGAGTTATCTTGTTGTGTAAGCTAATGCTGATCTTGAAGTCACAACCTGCTCAGCCTCCAAGTGCTGGAAAAGTAGGTGTGCACCAGCAGCCCACAAAGGATTTAACAAAATAAAGGTTCAAGCCTTTAATCCCAGCACTTGGGAGGCAGAGGCAGGCAGGCAAGATGTGAGTTTGAAGCCAGCCTGGTCTATAGAGTGAGTTCCAGTCCAGCCAGGGCTACAGAGAAACCTTGCTTTGAAAATACAAAAACAAAACAAAGGCGTTCTCAAATCATATAATGACTCATAAACTAATGTAACTGAGCCAAATTATCCCACCTCCTAAAGCTTTTGACTTCACTTATGAAACTACTACTAAAATAATTCTAGATCCAAGATACACACAGTGGTTAGGACAGTTGCTCCTGTATTCTGACCTTATAAAATATCTACTCTTCCGTCTATTACTTGAATGTGCTTTAAAGGTAGAGCTGCTTTCCACAGGTTACTTTTATAATCAGAACAGAACCAAAAATGTAGGGAGATATACCATACCTAAAAGTGGTGGTCCTAGGAGGACGGGACAGCATTCCACAATGGTCACCAAGCCCACAGCACTGGAGAACCTCTGGGGTCCAACGAGGTCCATCAGTGTTTCAAATAATACGGAGCTGAGCCAACCAAAGGCAAATCCAAAGACTCCCGCGTAGATACAGAACCCAACATAGCTCGTAGACAAAGGTGCTAGCAAATGGCACACTCCATTTGCAACAACAGAAGCAGCAAAGAAGTACTGGACCCGAGGTCTGATCCACTTAGTGTTGGCTACAAGTCCCATGGAAGGTCTGGCTACCATATCGACAAAAGCCAGAATGGAAAGGAGGAAGGCTGACTTCTCACTGGAATAATGCTGACTCTTACCATAATTACTAAGAAAGACCAAAGGGGTAAAGAGTCCAAAAAACATGACCACATTTCCAGACAGGTACAGCAAAAAGCCTCTGTGGGCAAACAGGGACAGGTCCAGGAACTTATTAATTGTTTGCAAGGCTGACGACTTTTCTCCTTTGGGGCTTCCTCCAATGAGATCTGTGTTGGCATCAGATTTTCCAGCTTCCTCAAGAGACTCTTTGGACTTCAGTTTTTCTACCTTGCCTGGTTTAGGCCCTATTGGTCGCATCAGGGATCCAGCTACACAACAGTTTAGCAGGAGGCCCCCAAGAATTAGGAAGCTTCCTTTCAAGCCAAAAATACCAAAGAAAGCCTGATTAAGTGGAGCCAGGGTACAGAGGAACACAGGGCTGCCTGCCATGGCCAGCCCATTGGCCAATGGTCGCTTCTTGTAGAAATACTTGCCAATCATGGTCAGAGCTGGGTTCAAGTTGAAAGCAAGCCCAAGACCTAGGAAAGGAACAAAGATAAGACTGTCATAAGCAGAAGTAAATGAAGCTGAAAAGATGGCTCAGTGACTAAGAGCATGATACACTGCTCTTGCAGAGGACTGATGTTGGATTCCCAGCATTAACACTGGAAAGCTCACCATCACCTTGTAACTCTAGCTCTAGGGAATCTGATGCATGTGATCTAGTCAAACCTGCCTCCTTGATCCAACTGTATACCATAAACGCTGTCCCCTTGTCCAGCTGTGTACATGAACTCCTTGTTCAACTGTATATACAACCGATTTCAGGGTTCCTCTGTACGTTTGTCCTTCCTTCATTCCTTCACTGCCCTAATCAGATCAATCCCTGAAGCTGGGCTGGACACAGCAACTTTGTTCTATCTCAAATACCGAATGACATGAAAAGCTGCTTATAATACACAGTTTGGGGGCTGGAGAGCTGGCTCAGAGTTTAAGAGCACTGGCTGCTCTTCCAAAGGCCTTGAGTTCAATTCCCAGCAACCACATGGTGGCTCACAACCATCTGTAATGAGATCTGGTGCCCTCTTCTGTCCTGCAGGAATGCGTGCAGGCAGAACACTGTATACATAATACATAAATAAATCTTTAAAAAAGAATAAACAAAATCTCTTCCTTTTTGGGTCTAAACAAAAAAAGGTTAGGTTTGTACACTAAAGAAACAGTATGACAGGCCATATATTTGAATGTCATAATATTCAACAGCTAATTTTCTTTCTCTCTTTTGGTTTTTCAAGACAAGGTTTCTCTGTAGCCCTGGCTGTCCTGGAACTCACTTTGTAGACCAGGCTGGCCTTGAACTCAGAGACAGACCTGCCTCTGCCTCCCAAGGGCTGGGATTAAAGGTGTGCACCATTACCTCTTGGTTCATTTTCTTGATTTGATGGCTAAATAAAAAATGGAGAGAAGGCTTACCAAGAGTACCCTTAACCTTCAGAGAGGTGTTACCTGGATAGCACACTGTCCTATTCCAGTAAAAGCCTATTCCCACCGGGCAGTGGTGGTGCACGCCTTTAATCCCAGCACATGGGAGGCAGAGGTAGGCTGGATCTCCGAGTTCAAGGCCAGTCTGGTCTACAGAGTGAGTTCCAGGGCAGCCAGGACTATTAGACAGAGAAACCCTGTCTGGAAAAACGAAACAAAACAAAAAACCAATTTTGTGTGTGCATGCCTGTGCCATGGTGTGAGAGTGGAGCTGGTTCGTTCCTTACACCACGTGGGTCCAGGGGAAGACTCAGGCTCGTCCTTTTACCCACTGAGCCTTCTTACTAGGACTCAGTTAATCAGCAGCTCTCTAAAAAGACACTTATCAAATGCATTACCAGATAGTGACAATAAATCAATATGAAATTCATCAGGGGCGGTGGTGGTGCACGCCTTTAATCCCAGCACTCGGGAGGCAGAGGCAGGCGGATCTCTGTGAATTCAAGGCCAGCCTGGGCTACAAAGCGAGTTCTAGGACAGGCTCCAAAGCTACAGAGAAACCCTGTCTCGAAGAAAAAAAAAAAAAAAAAGAAATTAATCAGTAGCCACTCACCTCCAACGACGCCAATGCAAAAGTAAAGTTCCTTCACTGTGTTACAGAAAGATGCTGCAATCAAGCCACAACCAGACAAGCAGCCACCAGCAATCATTACCGGACGGCTGCCATATTTATTTACCAGGACACTGCTGATAGGACCTAGGAGGGAATAAAAAATGTAGTAGTATAAACTCTCATATCCAAGAAAAGACAAATGAGAAAAAACTTCCCCTGTATATCTAGCTGTCTAAGGTACTGAGTTAACTATATTAAAATGACTTGGCTCAATCCTGTATGGTCCTGATGTAAAGAAATGCTTGGAGGATGGGTACAGTGGCCCAAGGCTGCGACTGCCATGGTAAGCAGTATCCTGTAATTACAGTAATGTGAAGGCAGACAGAACCACTCATCCTCATCTACAGTAAGTTCAAGGCCAGACTAGGTCCACGAGTCCCTGCCTCAAAAACCAAAAGGAATAAAAATAAAGCTTACAGGAGATCAAGTCAGCCAACAATCAATAGGAGCCTTGAGCTAACCACTCAAAGAGAGGATGGGAATGAAATGATAGGCTGCCTAGGTAAACAGACTAAAGGGTATTCTAAAGCTGTTGTTTTTTTAAGTGTTGGAGAAACCTAAGCTGTTACCCACTCTACCACTAAGCCACATCCAGTCCTAGGACACAATTCTTAATAAAACTAACGATGTCGGGCTGGAGAGATGGCTCAGAGGTTAAGAGCACTGACTGCTCTTCCAGAGGTCCTGAGTTCAATTCCCAGCAACCACATGGTGGCTCACAACCATCTGTAATGAGATCTGGTGCCCTCTTCTGGCCCACAGGCATACATGCTGTATACATAATAAACAAATAAATCAGCCGGGCGGTGGTGGTGGTGGTGGTGCATGCCTTTAATCCCAGCACTTGGGAGGCAGAGCCAGGCGGATCTCTGTGAGTTCAAGGCCAGCCTGGACTACCAAGTGAGTTCCAGGAAAGGCGCAAAGCTACACAGAGAAACCCTGTCTCGAAAAACCAAAAAACAAATAAATCTAAAACCAAAAAAACTAACGATGTCCATCTTCCTGCGGTTCATAAACTGGTGTGTGAGGCACTTCTCCCTCAAACTCTGCCATGGTGCTAGTGCTTTGCTTATGTCAACAACAACAAAAAGAAGAAAAGCTAATCATTTTTGCTGATTATAAAATGAATGGTATTCAACTTCACTTATTTGTAATTATAAAAACACTTGAGTTTCACACTTCATAGATAAGGACTTGAGAAAGAATGACTGCAGGACACTGTAACCTGCCTGGTTACAGCAGATGACTGCAAATAAGCAAGGCTCTGGGTTCCACCCTCACATGGAGGGGAAAAATTCATGTTAAAACTCAACCCAAAAGCAAGAGCCTGGCAGCCAGGAACTTTAAGAGATAATTAGGTCAGAGCCTCATGAATCTACTAAGTGTCTTTATGAAAGAGCCTGAGGGAACATATCTTCTCTGCTGCCATGTGAGGCAGCTGGAAGGCACTGGTTACAAAGAACAGGCCCTCAGAGGCCCAGATGAAAACAGCCACTTCATGAAGTTACAGGTCATTTGAAAACTTATGTTTACAGTTTGTATAGGATGAAAATACTGGACACTGATAGAATATCTGTACAAGAGTTTCATATGAATTATTTGTGGGGTTTTATATAGCCAGAATCCTAAAATAAATATTGCCATACTGTTCTATGAAGTTTAAGTTAGTGTTATCAGTTCTACAATATTTGAAATACCAAAAAAGGGAAAAACAAGAAAAGCACTAAGATCTTTTTCTCTTTGGCCAGGTGTGGGGGCTCACACCTTTAATCCCAGTCTTTGGGAGGCAGAGGCAGGAGGCGGAGGTCTGACTTTACGACTGGCCTGATCTACACAGCCAGGGCACCATAGAGACCCTGCTTCAACAAGCAACCAAAATCAAGAGCGCACAGGTTAAAGGACTGACAGTTGTAAAGTGATGAAAATTCTTAGGGGGTGTGTTCTTTAGAAACCCCAAACAGAATAACCCATTTAGTAAGAATCCTGCCAAAGTTCATGACAAGCAGTCTGTCTTTCAGTTACTTCAGAAAGAAAGGTCCTAATGAACTGTCACTGAAAACAGAAGGTGAGTAAACAGGTCCACTGGCACACGCGCTTAGAGAAACAGGCTAGTTAACTGAAGGCTCTAAGCAGCTAGAACCACAGAGACCCTGGCTCAGAGAACAAACCGTAGACAGCAGAGCTGAGTGAGAGCACCGGCTTCTTTTGGAGAACCCGGGTTTGGTTCCCAGCACTAATGGCCGCTCAGAGTCCGAGGGGATTTGAAGCCCTCTTCCGGCCTTCGTGGTTACCATGCATTCACACGATACCCAGGCACACATACACCCACACAGGTTAAAAAAAATAAATAAATAAGTTGCCGGGCGGTGGTGGCGCACGCCTTTAATCCCAGCACTCGGGAGGCAGAGCCAGGCGGATCTCTGTGAGTTCGAGGCCAGCCTGGGCTACCAAGTGAGTCCCAGGAAAGGCGCAAAGCTGCACAGAGAAACCCTGTCTCGAAAAACCAAAAAAAAAACAAACAAACAAAAAAAAAAGTTATAAAGACAAAAAATACACAGGAGGGAAAAGCAGGTCTTCAAACTGCTGCTTCTGTCCATTTATCCCTCTTCAAATCAACCAATTTAATAATGTTTAATTAAATTTTGACCTCAACTACACAGTGCTGTTTCAGGGCTTATTACATCAAAAAGAATACCAGATGTAGTGTTCTCTCTCACTCACAACATGCAGTCAGAGCTGGATGTACTCAAGAGACTTACTTAGTAAAGACTGCTGAATCTGCTACCAACTAAGTTATTCACCATTGAAATGTAGACTAGAATCTTTGTATTGGCTGTTAAAGAGCTACATGTGAGTATAATCCAAGACACTAAATTGTTATAAAAAACCAGCTTGTTAGATATCTAATAAGACAACATGGAACACTGTCCACCAGGTTAAACAAAAAACCACTTTGCTCCAGAATTCCTACTCAACAACCTCAAGTTTTATTGTAGGTTTAACTTTTAGTTTAATTGTGGTTTGATGTCTCCAGGTAAAACATACAGTGTTTGAAATAAGCAATCTACTTTCTACATAGGCTCCACACCATGCCAAAGCAAACAAAAGGGGAAAAAGGGACACAATTTAAGTAACAGCTAAAATGCCTTTAGAACTCATAGTATCATAGGAACAAGGGGAGAGTTTACTCAGCTTTTGTTTTTGGTGTGTGCTCTCGTGTACATGTATGCGTGCCAGCCAATAGGGTATCAGTTGTCTTCACCTCTTTGTGCCTGTGGGACAGGCCCAGTCCTTGAATTATAGATTTTACCTTAGTCTTTGAACTAACTATACTATTCTAGACATTTGAGTAACTTTAAAATCTTGCAATTCAATATGTAAAGATGCTGACTTTTCAAGTGTCTGGCACAGAGCAAGAGGAACAAGGTTTACACACATCATTTTACAAGAGCCCTCAAAACACAGCTAATACTTGAGAGAGCTCCTCTCGCTTCCACTTCTGTTCCAACAAGCAGTAATGGATGAAGGGAGTAGGAGCTGCCAGCATTATCGGGGTGAAAGCATGCTCCTCAGTATGAAACGTCAGCAAGCACAGCTTCAAAGCACCTCACTGAGTAAGACATTAAAATGTACAGACTCAGCCAGGTGGCAGTGGCTCTTTAACTCCAGCACTCAGGAGGCAGAGGCAGGCAGATCTCTGTGAGTTCAAGGCCAGCTTGGTCTACAGAGATGTTCCTGGACAGCCAGTGTTAACACCGAGAAATCACCAAAAAGTCCAGACTGTGGCTGCCTGATAGAAGGTAAAAGAGTGGGCCATAGTGGGTACTCACCTCCAGCATACATGACAGCCAGCATGATGGATGATATCCATGACACTTCACTGGTAGTAGCAGTGAATAAAAGTTCAATTTCTTTGAAGAAGACAGTGATGGATTTGGGAAACGCATAAGAGAAGCCGATAGAAATGAAAGCTCCAACTACCACTGCCCACCCCCAGCCTCCATCTGGGGGTGTATATCCGACTGGTCCTCCAATTGCAGGTGGCATTTTAAGTGTCGATGAATCCCAAAATGCAGTGCAAATCTAGTATCTGAAGGATATGAAATGGAAAAAAAGTGTCAGCAACAAAACAGCCTCCACAAATCCTTTTTCTGCAATAATAGACATGTTTGCTTGGCTCTTGACAAGAGTCACACCGAATGCCTTTTAACCATCTGAATGACAAAGGAAATATCTTACTGGGTTTGTTGTTTCAGGCCAGGGAAGGGTATATAGTGAGACCCTGTCTGTCACCCTCACAATTCCAATAGACCTACTCTCTTACTCTTCTGCTTGGTTTTCAACCTTTTATTTCATTTTACTTTATGTGATTTTTTTAAATGGCTTTTTAGCGGCATTGGGCAGTGAACATTTAACCAATTTACCCTATGAAAAATAAACACCACATACTCTAACATGGCCAGATCCTACAATCAAGGAAGTAAAACAGATTTCAACTGAAGTAAATGTGCAGATACCCATCAATGTGACAACCACCCCAATTCTACTATGAAAACAGAAAAGACAGGAGTTTTAACTGTCCGTGTGGAATAAGGCTGGTGACCCTCCAGTATGTTTTTGTTTTTTGTTTTTAAAAAACTGGTTGCCTTGAGAGAGGATTGCGCATTCAGCCCAGGCTGACTTCAAACTCATACATATGTGGCTGAAGTTGGCCTCAAACTCCTAATTCTGTGTCTATCGTACAAGTGCTAGAATTACAGGGGTTTTTTTCTACACACTCAGTTTTGTATCAGTGTACAAAATGAGCGTCACTAACATTCTCACACAACTTACTCACAACTGTACCCCTATTCCAAAGAACTACTAAAAAGATGAATTAATCACCATTCTGCCTCCATGTTTTACACACAAATACATGTGTGTTAAGAATTCAACTAAGCCTCTGGGGTGGGCGGGTGGTGCACATGCCTTTAATTCCAGCACTCTGGGAGGCAGAGGCAGGCAGATCTCTGTGAGTTTGAGGCCATCCTGGGCTACAGAGTGAATTCCAGGAAAGGTGCAAACCTACACAGAGAAACCCTGTCTCTCAAAAAACAAAACAAAACAAAACAAAAAAAAGAATCCAACTAAGAGAGAAAACGTGAGATTTCTTTCCTCCCTTCGCTCCCTCCAGAGTTCTGGCCTAGATCTATGCATTCACAAGTTTTCCTTCTTTTGGGGCCCCAGATTTTTACTCAGTGAGACATGGGATGAGTAATTTCTTCTGTAATTGAGGTAAGCTGAGAAAGACCTCAGGTACCTGTTCTTAGAAAATATAGTTTTTACTTAAAAGTCTTATCTGAATATAAGCCTCTGGATTATTCTTTAAAAAACATAGTGTAGAGGGAAAAAAAAAAATCTTTGTTGTAGGGCATTTCACTCATGTCAGATAAAAACATTTTTACGGGCTGGAGAGATGGCTCAGAGGTTAAGAGCACTGACTGCTCTTCCAGAGGTCCTGAGTTCAATTCCCAGCAACCACATGGTGGCTCACAACCACCTAATGAGAGCTGGCGCCCTCTTCTGGTCATACATGCTGTATACATAATAAATAAATAAATCTTAAAAAAAAACAAAACATTTTTACAAGCTAGGTTTCTTAAAAATGGAAGCAGGCAGATCTCTGAGTTTGAAGCCAGTCTGGTCTACAGAGCGAGTTCCAGGACAGCCAGGGCTGTTAACACAGAGAAACCCTGTCTCGAAAACAAAAACAAGCAAACAAACTGTACCCACTGAATAATAAAAAGCTGCTTAACATGCTAGCAGATTTAAGTCGGCTAAGTATGGGTGCTCCAGGCATTAATTCCTTTTCCTTCATCTAAGCATAAGTTTTCCAAAGAACTACAAAGATGCCTTCATTTCAAGCAAGAGTATTTACATATACAGAAAAACACCTACACACAGAGCAGTGCTGTTACAAATCAAGCCCCGACTAGAACAGCAATACGTGCTGGACGTGGTTAAACTCTGAGCTTAGCTGCCAGCTAGGATTTGTCAATTAAAGACACTTCTAATTTTTAGTCATGAAGACTTGCCTCATCAAGTTAATAATACCTTTTCTACAGAATCAAGATTTAACTTAAGTAACTAAGAAGATTCACAAGTAAACTAATATAGTCCAAAATAGTTCTGGGAAAAAGGAATTCAAAAACCCAGAAACAGATTCAATATAATTTTATCACAACCATCATTTTACAACTAACATAAAAATTCTGATTAAAAAACCCTCCATTTTACACCAGCAGTTTTCTTCTATACACAGAAGGCCTTATCCCCAAAGGAAATTCCAGGACTAGACCCTTTGCCTGAAGTTCAGAAAAAGAGAACATAGACACATCACATGTTAAAATCCAGAGACTAAACCCAAAGAACAAAAGTTTTTAAGATTTTAATCTTACAGTGTGCAGTAGCCCCATCAGCTTAAATGTTATTGCCTTCAAAGTAACAGGGGATTAGCAAACAGGCAAAGGAGTGATGAGAAAGTATGTCTTCTAAGGACACGGACGCCACACATAGTGTGGTGTGCCAGAAGCACCAGCACTCACTCGGGAGCTGGAAGCCTGGGTACATGACTATAAAGCACCAGCAGAAGCGAACGGAGAGCGGGTGACACAGGGAACAAGCTCCACATCACTACCTTCAAACGACAGGAGAAACAAGAGCTTTTTTTATTGTCTTTGCCAGACATGGTCTCACCATGCAGTCCTGGCTGGCCTTTAATTCAGCGATTCATCTGCCTAAGTGTCTGGGCATAATTTTACACTGTTAATCCCAGCACTTGGGAGGCAGAGGCAGGTGGATCTCTGAGCTCTGAGGCCAGTTTGATCTATATAGTGAGTTCCAAAGACAACCAGAGTTACATAGTGAGACTCCGTCCACTCCACAAAAAAAAATTATACGAGCATGCTGGAAACATGGCTCAGTGGTTAAAAACACATACTGCTCTTGCAGAGAACCTGAGTTCACACTGGGTGGTTCATAAGCACTAGACTTATATGAAGGGACCTGAAGGGACCCACACTGACATGCACACTCTCACACAGACACAGAGGTGGGGGGTATGATGCATTTTAGTAAGCAAATCTAGAAAGCCAAAGTTGTAGTCCAGTTCCCATGCCCTGGACTCTCTATAGAGAGGAGTTACAAAGCCCTAGGAAATGGTAGTAATTTCCCTGCACTCTCCATACCAATATGTAAAACAAACCCAACTCCCATTTCCTAAGGGGACAACAGCCAGTTTGTGAATGTAAAAGATATAGAAAGTATCTGAAGTTCAATGTACATTACTAAGCACAAACTAGTTTTAGAAGTCAGGTGGTGGTGGCGCAAGCCTTTAATCCCAGCACTCGGGAGGCAGAGCCAGGAGGATCTCTGTGAGTTCGAGGCCAGCCTGGTCTACAGAGTGAGATCCAGGACAGGCACCAAAACCACACAGAGAAATCCTGTCTCGAAAAACAAAAACAAACAAACAAACTAGTCTTAGGCTTCAAATCAGGCACTCAGATCCACAAAGCTGACTCAAAGTAGCCGTCTGCTATCATGGCAGCCTCCTGTTTTTCATTTGTTTTGATCCAGCTTCTTGGCTTATAAAACAAGTGTTGGGGGGGGGGGAGAGAATGAGAATGAGAATGAATTAGGCTGAGAGTGAATCTCAGTAGCAGAATGTATAACTTAACATGCACAGGGCCCTGGGTTTAGTCTCCAGCAGTTACTACCCCGCCTCCACCTCCCCTTTAAGAAAGAGGGGGAGTCAATTGAAGAATGGGTTAAGAAAATGTGGTACATATACACAATGGAGTACTACTCAGCAAAGAAATTTGCAGGCAAATGGATGGAACTAGAAAGTATCATCACGACTGAGGTAACCCAGACCCGAAGGACAAACATGGTATGTACTCACTCATAAGTGGATACTAGATATAAAGCAAAGAACAATCAGACTGCAACCCAGAGAACCAGGGAGGCTACATAGCAGGGGGGACCCTAGGATGACTGTGGCTTAGAGTAAGTTTTGGTTTTACTTAATCACTGGGCAAGCCTCAGTGAAACATTTCACTATTAGGATAAGAATTTGTACTGTATCAAGCTGATGACAGAATAAAAAAATAAAATAAAAAAACAAAAAGAAAGAAAGGGGGAAAACATCTATGAAGAGTAGAACTCTGACTACTGGACTTGACTAACACAACCCTCAGCAATTATAAAACGTATAACTTTCATACTACATAAGGAACAGCACAAAAGTGTAAACTTGTCTCTGCAAACTTCTAGTTGCCTCTGCCTTCTGAAGACAGGGATTAAGAGCACACACCCCCACGCCCAGCTGATATGGTAATAGGACACTGTGTTGGTTTAGCTACTATGGAAAACAAAATGTAGATTAATAAAAATTCAGACTAGATTGCCATTGGATCCAACCATCATACATCTAGAAGTCCACTTCTAAGAACAGGAATCTGAGTGTCAAAGATACAGCTGTACTTCCACATGCTCTGCAGTGTTAGTCAAAAATAGGCAAGACACGGGCTGGTGGGATGGCTTGGTGGGTAAGAGCACTTTCAAACAAGTCTGGCCACCCCAGTTTGATCCCTGGAATCTTCAACAAGACAGTAAGCGAGCTGACTCCAAAGCTGTCCTCTGACTTCCACATGAATTCTGTGGCACACAGGCCTGCACATACACAACATGCACACATCCATACAAATAATTTAAAAATTAAAACAGGCAAGACGTAAAAGCAATCTAAATGTCCATCAATGGTACTACATGCAGTAGAGTACTAAGCTTAAATAAAAAGAAAATCTGGTCATTTGTGACAATATGGATAGCCCTCAAGGACACTTGCTGAATGAAACAAACTAGATCCAGAAAGGTAAATACTGTAGTTTTATGTGTCCGTTCAACTGCGATACTGTTTTATCATGTGGGAAGCTTTTTGTAGAGGACTTATGGCTAAATATACTAAACCCCAGGCCAGCACTCAAGCACTGAACCACATGCCCAGCCTTTAAATAGCCTTCCTAATTGCTGATGATATAAACCTTACACTAT